ACATTTGAGATTCAAACTGCTTTTATTTGCCTATATTGATATCTCTCTATATTGAGTTAAGTCTATACATGGTGGAATTTACTGTTCTGTAAATTATACAACAGTGGTGGGAGGAATTTGGAATCTTTTGCGCAATGGTATACCTGTGCCGTGATGTACTGTGCAGAACAAAACACTGCACACTTCCTGAAAACATCATTCAGTGTGAGCACAGAATTCCAGAGCCATAGGGCAGAAAAAAGAGAGTGATCAAATCTAGTAGGAGAAGACTGCTCATTTAGGTAAGTTGTTATCTTTGAAGGTAAAATATACTATATCTTCAAAATTGAGTTTATCCACTAATTATATTGTATGTCTCTGAATAACTATCAAGATATATTTTTCAAAGGGGCAAGATTACACTCCCAGACTAGTCAAACAAGTCTAGAGTCCCTTTGAAAACAAAACATAGCATAACATAGTGGTGTGACATATCACCAGACGTGACGCCTTCATCTGTTTTTCATTATAGTTTATCCGAAGAAACAGACTTTTGCAACTGAAAAAAATGCCTCCACCTCGTGTAAACAAGAAACCCAAGAATGAATCCACAACAAATGACAACACGGGCACTCTTGACGACCCTTTGACATTCTTGGATCAGGACTACCAGGAGTTGAAGAAGAGCTGCATCACCAATCAAAAGAGATTTGTTGATGACAAGTTCCCTCCAGACAGCAGCTCCATTGACCCAAAGAACAAACTTAAATTGGACCTGGACCAAATCGAGTGGTTGAGACCATCAGTAAGTTACCTGAATTCACTTTCCATCTTCAGTCCTTCTGTAACTTGTTTGAAAGAATCATTGTAAAGTACTGCAGAATGTCTCTTAGGGCTTGTCAGAACAGGTTCACTATTGTGACAAGACATCTCAAGTGTCATGAAAGCAGACCCAAAGTACATTATTTGAGACAATTTCGTTTTGTGGTATTCACAAATCTCTAGACCAAATATTAATGCATAATTTGTTTATTTTGTCTCTTTAGAATATAGTATCAGACCCTCAGCTCATTGTACAGGGTGCTTCTAGGTTTGACTATTCCCAAGGATCTTATTTAGGTATGTTTCATTATGTATTTATTTACATCTCCAGTAATCGCTGGTTTTTAAATGATACCAACCCAATAAATAATGTCACTGTATATACACCAGGAAGACTTTATCAACTCATTGAAAGAATATTTTTTACCTTAACCTTAGGAAACTGCTGGTTTCTTGCTTCAGTTGGGGCTTTAACATTTCAGAAGGACATCATGGACCAGGTCATGCCAGCTGACCAGTCATTTGCTAAAGATTATGCAGGGATATTCCACTTCAGAGTGAGTTCTTTGGTCTTTTTCAACATAACTTGATTACATTTTTTTTTTTTAAATCATGTATCAGCCATTAAGCCTTATGTTCTGCAACTTCTTAGTTCTGGCGATTTGGTAAATGGATTGACGTTGTCATTGATGACAAACTGCCAACAATCAAAGGAAAGCTAATTTTTGTTCATTCAAAAACATCTAATGAGTTTTGGCCTGCCTTACTGGAGAAAGCTTATGCCAAGTAGGTGCCAATATGTTAAATATTTTCATTTTCATTTAACATAAATATATGCTTTTACCATAATTATAAGAGTTTATGACCCTTATTATATGTTTTGTTTGTAACACATTAGAATTTAATCTCTAAGAATCCAACATCATAAGCATGTTTGCAATGCCTCTTACAGGGTGTGCGGCTCCTATGCTGACATGCATGCTGGTTGTGTATCTGAGGCTCTGCTGGACTTCACCGGTGGCATCCATGTGTACTTCAAACTGAAACAAACTTCCACTGATTTATGGAGCCTGATGGACCGTGCAGCCAAAGCAAAGGCCCTTATGGGCTGCAGCACTTCTCGTGGGGTAAGCAGTTCCAGTGACCTCAGTCTGAAACTTTCATTCATATGAACTAAATATAAACAACAGTAAGAAACAATGCAGAGCACCGATTATACATACAACCGTATTTTATCTTTGTGTCATTAATGATATAATATGTTTTAATTTATATATTTATCAGGATACATCTGCAAACACAGTATTACCCAATGGCATCGTTCAAGGCCATGCATATACAGTGACAGGGGTTTTCAAGGTAAGTTTGCACAGAATTAAATGTCATTTAAATGTCATGTAATTAGGTCAGTGGTGGGAGAAATACAAATGCTTTGTCGCCCAGTGCAAATTCCTACAGCTGAGTTCCCCTCTTATACAGTCAGATTTGATGTTCATGGGCCTGGAGCGATTTCTCCTGTTTTAGCCATGCCAGGGTGTGGAGCTTTGCTCTTATGTCCAGCAATTATTAAATTTTGTTCTTGAAAGTTCCTCTTTCCAGTTCTCTTTAAGGATGTCAAGCACACAACACGGTCGACATCCATAGAACAGCTCAAATGGGTAAAACCCAGTGAAGGCTTGAGGAACCTCTCAGACTGTGAATAACGAGCTTATTAAGCCGCATCCCAAGTTCTAACTTACTGTTAAACTTACAAATCATATATTTCATGTCTGATTAATTTATTCAACCAGCCCATCAATTTGGGTATAGTAAATGTTAGTACGAATCAGCATAATTCCTAACCATTCAAAGATTCATACAGTCAATTCATACAGAATTCATGACGTACAGTTGAAGTCAAAAGTTTACATACACCTTGCAGAATCTGCAAAATGTTACTTATTTTACCAAAAGAGGGATCATACAAAATGCATGTTATTGTTTATTTAATACTGACCTGAACGAGATATTTCACATAAAAGATGTTTACATATAGTCCACAAGAGAAAATAATAATACTGGGTTGTTACCTGAATGATCCACAGCTGTGTTTTTTGTTTAGTGATAGTTGTTCATGAGTCCCTTGTTTGTCCTGAACAGTTAAACTGCCTGCTGTTCTTCAGAAAAATCCTTCAGGTCCCACAAATTCTTTGGTTTTCCAGCATTTTTGTGCATTTGAACCCTTTCCAACAATGACTGTATGATTTTGAGATCCATCTTTTCACACTGAGGACAACTGAGGGACTCATACGCAACTATTACAGAAGGTTCAAACGCTCACTGATGCTCCAGAAGGAAAAACCATGCATTAAGAATTTGAATTTGAAGATCAGAGTAAATGGAACTTATTTTGTCTTCTGTGAAACATGTAAGTATCTTCTGTAGCTTCTGGAGCATCAGTGAGCGTTTGAACCTTCTGTAATAGTTGCATATGAGTCCCTCAGTTCTCCTCAGTGTGAAAAGATGGATCTCAAAATCATACAGTCATTGACAAACATGCATTACATTAAATGTATTAGTTTCTTGATGTTAAAACTGTGTAATCCAAATAGATGGAAATTTTATATGCAATTCAAATACATAAATCTTAAATTTAGGCCTAAATACACTGTTTCCCTGCAGTTTTGATCACAAGTCTTATTGTTTTATGCATGATTGCTTCTCAAGCATTATCTTGTTTATAGGTTGTTTATATTTTAACAGACAGAAAATAAGGCAAAAATACTTAAGAACATGTTTTCTTACAGGGCATTTACATAAGATTCACGCAAAAACAGACATAGAATTTTTAAGACTGATTTTTTTTTTAACTTGACACATCCTTAAAGCTCAACAATTAATGCCGGACAAGACACAGCGGCCAGAGATATCCGTCTAAAAGTGTACATCTGTACTTTTACCATCGCTTATAGGAATATAATCTTGACTATTCCTTTTACACTATTGCTGATTTATTGATAAATATCCTTCAGGGGACTATGCATTGACTGGATAAAGTATGGGGTCAAAGGTCGCACATTCACAGCACTATATCGCCATATTGGCAGATTCAGTACAGTCGTATGATTGATATAAGAGCCTCCACTGAGCAATGACTCCTGACAACCACTCAAAACTGTGTTGTCAAAGCTATTTCATTATTAAACATCCTATCTAAAATCATCAAGTCTAATTTGCGCCTTTTACCAGAGCCGAACTCTCTCTTCGACCTGTCCTTGCTGAAGTTACAGAATAACTGTTCTCATATCGCTTTATAAAAGGCATAGCAGGCCGTGTTCCCGCTGATTGCAATGAATAATGCCCACGGGTATTTGCTAAATCTATGCAAACCTTCTGACACAGTGTATTCATCAAGATGTCAGACGTTGAAGGACAGATGTGGGGAACAACACCTTAAGAGTCGTCTGATAGGTGCGTGTGGAAATCAGCGTATACATCCGAACGCCTTGATCAGAAGTGTGAGGAGGCAGCCAGAGCCCATTCGCATCCCACACCTTCAAACACAGAGCACCTGTCTCTTCACTTACCTAGAAGAAACGTACCCTGACATCTGAGGTGACTTTCAAAGACTTTAAAGGTAAAACGGAGTCTCTGCGCATGGCTCAACTGCTAAGTGGCTCCCTCAGACAGAGAAGAACGTCTGATACACAGCAAGAAAAAACCTTGACTCTGCACTGGAGATGAACGTCTTCCACATTTTGAAGACACATGCTCAGCAAAAGACTGCATTGTGGATTTTTTCATGTATGAGAGAGAAAATGAGGTAGATAAACAAAATAGAATTAAAGGGCCAAATATTTACTTATACTATCGAATATTATACAACGTTAGTTCCGATCCTCAAATATGATTGGCCAAGAGGCATTCCAAGAACAACAGTGCAACATCACTGGGACTTTTCATTACTTTTATCATGCCGCTTGTCTGTCTGTTTTTGCAAGATTAAGGTTTTGACTCCTTTCAGAACTCTTTTAGTTGGTGGAGAAAAGGAAAACACCACAAGATGTTTTAAGACATAATTTAATTTAAACTTTTTGTTTTTATAATTTACAAAATCCAGTATAACTGATTAGTAGACTGGACAGGACGATTAGTAAATATAAATATGCCGTATGTAAAATATAACAAACATTTATATTTGAAATTTTACCATTATTACATTTTCAGTAAACTACCATTTACAAGTTTGGGGTTAGTAAAATGGTTAATGTTTTTAAACAAAGTCTTATATGCTCAACCAAGGCTTAATTTATTTTGATTACAAATACAGTAATATTGTAAATTATTGTTACATTTTGTTAAAATAACTCTTCTGTTTTAAAATATTTAAAAATGTAATTTCTGCAATGGTAAATCAGAATTTTCAGCTGCCAATACTCCAGTCTTCGGTGTCACATGATCCTTCAGAAATAATGCTAATATGCTGATTTACTGCTCAAGAAACATGTCTTATTATTATCAGTGTTGAAACAATAGTGCTGCTTAATATATTTTTTTCAGGATTCTATGCTGAATAGAAAGTTCAAAAGAACATGATCACATTTATATTAAATTTCTGTAACAATGTAAAAGTCTTTACTGTCACTTTCGATTTAACGTGTCCTTGCTGAATAAAAATATTAATTTCTTTCAAAGAAAAATACATAAAATTGTATACACATAAAACAGAGAAACATTTTAAAACAATAAATTTTTAAAATTATGGGACATAAAAGCACAACGCTATAAAGTCACCGTTTTTTACTTTGATGCTGTTCTGCACTTTGAAATGGGCTTCCATATATAATATCATCAGACACGTTTTATTTAAGTCCCTTTAATGGAAAGGACGGTCAAAGATGAAACAGGAGACGATAGAGAGAAGTGGAGAGATGTGATCTGAAAATGACCTGAGCTGTATTCAAACTTGGGTCGCCTACAGAAAAGCGCTAGCCTAACAAATAAAGGAGCACACGCACTACCCACCCAGCCGCATCTCCTACTGAGACACACTTCTGAGTTCACCTCAGAAAGTAACCACAGCCAACAAACACAAAACTTTTAGAGGAATTTTAAGGCACACAGATTGACAGTCTGACAAAAACAGCTCTCAGGCAATACATGTGGCAATGCTGTATATACAACAATGGCCGCCGGGTTAGACTTTGGCTTGGCTCATTTTGGAATATCTCCGGCTCCTCAGAGCGAAGAAATTGAAACTAGCAGTACAGGTGGCCAACATCTATTATGTAGAGAGATGCAGATGGAGACGGTGAGCTGCCTGAGAGAGTGCATTGTAGGGGTTTAGACAGAGACTTGTCTATCCACTGGGAGAAAATCCTGCCTGCTCTGACAATGACAGAGTGACAACATGAGATTCCATGGCAGGCTTGACAGTTCAGCTGACTGCTGTGCACTCTAACGTAATGTAAATTCTGCCAAGGAAATGACTAAATAACTGCAGCCGAGTGTGGAATTGAAGGAAGCTTAATGTGCGTGCGCGTGTTTCTCCCCGTCCCTTTTTCCATAATGGCAGTGATGATGGTTATATGGGATAGATAACAGACATTATAATAACATGCTGCTGGATAATCCAGGCATGCTGCAGGGGAAAAAAAAGAAACATCTGTACCAAGACGGGCAGAATTTATATGAAAATATTTACTTTTTCTAGCGTAATTACAATGGCAGAGACACGGGCCAGCTTTGCAAAGGTCACCAGGCTGTCCTCAAGCTCATGTTGAGTGTTTGTCACGCTTAGATGCTTGCAGGATACATCAAAAGCAGCTGGTTTTGACAGTCCAATGCAGGATGCCATTACTAGGCGAACCGGTCAAACGGAACTGTGAAAAAAATACTCGATTCATAACGCCGGAATGTAGCTTACAAGTGAAGCGTTCTCCACGGCATGTGGAGAAATGTTGGGTGCAGGAAATGGATGTAATTTCCAGGGTTGGGGAGCCCGAATGGAGAACGGGTATGGCAATGTACCTATCGTATAGAGCAGCACTTCTCAACTGGATTTGCTGTAGGACCCAAGTGGTTACCTAGAACAGTATCACAACTGTTTAGAATGCAAAAATGATATTAAAATAATTTATGAAATGTATTAATACTACTATGGACAGTACAGGCCCAACAATATATACAACTATTAAAGAGACAGTTCACCCCAAAATGAAAATTAATTTATTCGTTCCAAATAATGTACTTTCTTCGGTGGAACACAAAAGATGTTTTGAAAAAACAACATGAGGGTAAATAAATGATGACAATTTTGTTTTATTATTTCATTCAATTTTATTTCATAATTTCATCTTTTTTTATATTAGTAAAATTGACAAATGTCATCCATGAAAAAAAACAAAAACAAAAGTTTTCTTTTTCTTTTTTTCTCTTTTTGACCACTGGGCTTAAAAAATACAAAATTTAAATTTGACAGACAAATTTCATTTGAATTCATTGAATTCAACAACAACAACAAATAAGACTTTGCTTTTCCTTTT